ACCCTTTAAAGGTGGTTTAACTGCTTTATCTTTTTGGGGAAAAAAAAAAAAAGGGGGCCCGGATATTGAGCGTCTCGGATAAAAAACCAATATATCATCAACGATCTTAGCCCGGTAAAGGTGTTTGGGGGGTGAAAGGGGCTGAATTTCTCTGTCTCCAAATTTTTCCCTGAAGAGGGTTTGGCCCAAGCACAGCACTGAGCGGGCTGCCCTTGGGCCCTCCCAAAGCATTGTTTTTTTAAAAAGTTGTCCCGATACTTGAAGAAGTTGAAATTAACACACGTTCCACTGGGTTGATGAAATCTAGAAGAGTAAAGGGAGGTCGGGTTTTCAGTGACTCTTCTCAAATGTTTTATTGCACAAACATAGGAACGTTGGGAAAGAGGCCTTTGACATCGAAAAAGGGAAACCATGCTTTTGTTTTTTTACATTCGGTTGGAAATTCGGGAGAGAAGGTCACCTGAGTGTTTTTTTTTGGGGGTTTTTACTGATGTGCCCAGAAGCGCTGAAAGGTAATTTTGGGAAGGTGGCCGGCTTTGTCTGTGTGGTGCATCCTATGCCCGAAGTGATAGGCCGTAGTGGGGGGGGGCCAGGTTTTTTGTGTCTTTTGGAAAGGCCAAAACAGGGTGCTGGTTTCGGTTTTTCCGGTAAAAGTTTAAGTAGTTTTTTTTCCTTGTTCTGATTTTTGTAAAAAAAGCTAGACCTTTTGAAGGAAATCTGGGGATTTTAAAATTTGACTGATTCCGATCCCGGCTGGTATGTGTTTGGGGCCCCTTGAGGGAAAATTTAAGACTTTATTGTTTTAGTCGACAAATGTTGGGGTAACACCACACCACCTCCTTTTTCAGCGGGTTGTAATGACCTTTTCATCTTTTTTGGCCCCAAATTTCCCGAGTGCTTTGGGTGATCTTTTGGGAAGACCCGGGCTTGAAGGTCAGTGCCCGCAGCAGGGGTGATTTCCCTTTGGGCAAAGCCTTTTTAAACTCGGAGGGCTCCAAAAAGGGTTTGGGTTTTTGGTTACCATATCCCCCAGATTATTTTTTTTTGTTGATGCCAGTAGTAAACTTGAGGGGCCCTTTAAAAGGGTGAGGGCTTCGTCTCCCGGGGAGGTTAGTGTATGGGGAAAATAAGGTTTTTTATGATTTCTGGTCGCCCATTTCGCCCATTTGGGTGTGTTCCCCCAGCAAATGGGCCCAAATGGGGGGACCAGAAATCTTTAAAAAAAATTATTCCCATACACTAAACCCTCACCGAGACAGGAAAACCCTCAAACCCAGGGGCCCCAAGTTTTTCTATGGCAAACAAAAAGAAAATAATTGGTGATATGGTAAACCCAAAAACCAACCTTTTGGAGACTCCCAGTTTCAAAAGGGCTTTGTCCAAGGGGAAACTTTACTGCTAAACTACCCGGCCCCTTTAAGACCCGGGCATTCCCAGAAAAATACATCCAAGCACTCAGGAACTTGGCCAACACGATGATATCGTCATTACAAAACCCCTGACAAAGGAGGGGGTTTTTGGTGTTACTCAACACTGTCGAATACAACAATAAAAATCTTTTAAAACTTTTCAAAGATGCCAACCATACAGCCTGTATCGGAATTTAGTGCTACTTCAAAATACCCAGAAATTTCCTTTAAAAGGCTCGTAGCAAATTTTCGAAAATAGAACAAGGCAAAAAAAATACTTAAATTTTACCAGGTCAACCGAAACCAGCCCCGCCTGTTTTGGCCCTTTCCCAAGAAAAAAACACAAACCTGGATCCCCCTACGGCCTAACACTTCGGGGGTAGGGGGGTTTCACCACAAAGACTAGCCGGCCACCTTGCCAAATAAACCCTTTTAGGCTTCTGGGGACTATCAGTCAAACCCCCCTCAAACAACAGGTACCTTTCCCCCCGGGAATTTTTCCCAAACCCGAAAGTCAAAAACAAAAGCATGGCTTCCCTTTGAATTTTAAGGGGCCCCTTTACCAACGTTCCTACGATGCTGCAATCCCAAAAATTTTGAGACGAGGCCATGAAAAAACCCCGACCCCCCCTTTTTACCTCTTCTAGGTTTTTCCCTCAATTAGTGGGAAAAATGTGGGTTTAATTTTAAAATTTTTCAAGTTTAGGACAACTGTTAAAACAATGCTTTTGGGGGTGGCAATGGGGAGCCCCCTCAGTGCTGTGGGTTGCCCAAACCCCTTCATGGAAAAATTGGAGACAGAGAAATTCGCACCCCCCATTCCCCCCCCCCTTTTCCCGGCCCAAGGGTACGTTGATGAAAAAGGGGGGTTTTTTTCCGAGACGTCTCCAAAATCCAGGCCCTTCTCAACAAGATCCAAAGCATTGAACCATCAAAAAAAAGTTTTCACCCTTTAACCCCGAAAATGATGGCAAACTTCTTTCCCCGCCCTTTTACTGTTTTCAGATCTCCCCGACAGTGGGCAAACTTTCTTCAAAGTGTATAGAAAACCTACCCAAAAGGACGATCTTTAAAACACCCTTTTTTTCACCCCAAGATACCCCCCCAAAAAAGAGGAAATCCCCCATTGGGTTCTTCTTGAGAAGGGTTTCGCATCTCCAGCCCTTGTTTTTCTAGAAAAGAAATGCAAATTCCCTAAACAAGCCTTTTCACGTCTTCAGTTCCCATTTTTTTTCAACCGAGATTTGCAGGATCAAAGGGACAAGCTATCCTCCCAAAAAAGCCCATGGGAAAAGCCCCCTAAACAGTTCATAGTTTCTCCCAAGTGGCATGTTTTCCCGAATTTCTCGCCGGGCACTTGCTATGGTAAAAATCAAAGGGTTTTCCCCCATAAACACAACCTTTCAAAGGCCCCCACTACTAAAAGCAGGGCCCCCCACCCCCCCCCTAACTTCCCACAGCGGCGTCTCCACTTCCCCCGGGGGTTCTGTCCCCCGAAAAAATTTTAGGCGAGACAGGCAGAGATCTTTTCAGTCCGCCTTTAATGAGCATCGAAATGCCTCTAACAGAGACGATTTTTAAAGGGGAAAGCCGTGTCCTCCACAGAGACTCCCCCGGGGCAAAAAGAATGAAATGGAACGGGGCACAACTCGTTTCCCCACCGAACCCGACCTCAGACGCCGACGGTGCCTAGAAGCCTCACTAATCCCGGGCACCGGGCACTATAGAACGCAACACTTTGGGAAAATTTCAAAAATTTTAAAAACATTGGCATACATATACTTAAGCGCCCCAAAACCCCAAAAACACAGGGTTTACATGATTTCAACGTCTACCCGTCCTATCATAGGGAGAGGGGTGTTTTGAAAGGACCGCCTCGCCCCTGGGGCCCGTTTGGCCTTCTACAAATTTCCCCATTTCTTAAGTTCTTATGACATTCCTCAGGTCCCCGTGCGGCACTTTTCACTCTCCGCCTAAAATATAATTTTCTTTCTACCCTGTATGTTAGAATTTTATCAAGGGCCCCGGGGCCGAAACGTTTTTAATAAATATGGGTTTTAGTGTTTTTTCTTTTCGTGTTCCCTTTTAAACAAAAATTGTCGGTATTTATTTCCCAAAGGTTTTTACCAGATTAGATTAATTCAAATTTTAAATTATTGCAGGGTTTTTGGGAAAAAGGGTTTAAATGACTACTTTTAGTTTTTGAGTTTTTTTTAAAGTAAAGCTATTTTTTTGGGGGCCCAAATCATAGTGTCTATATTGGGGGTAAACATAGGCAAACCTTATGACTAGTTAAGATTCATTATTTAAAGATTAAGATTCGTATTTCTGTGTTTATAGTCAGTGGGTGAGTGAGCATAAGTGTAAAACCACCAGGTGGTTTACATGTAGTTATTTTGACGGGGTGTATCAGGGAGATAAGATGTTTTCTAACTGTAGTTTTGAAAGTGATGAAATGTGTCTGCAGTTCTAGAGTTTTCAGGTAGGGTGTTCCAGATTTTAGGCCCTTTGACACACATTGAATTTTGTAAAGGTTTAGTCGGCCCATAGAGATGTTTGTATCTGGTGTTATGCCTGGGGGTCCTGTCACAACTATCAAGAAAAGCGTTTTGGTTTCAAGGTTAATATTGGAATTTAAGGTCCTGTAGATGTAGATTGTACAGTAGTAAGTGTGGATGTTCTGAACAGGGAGTAAATTTAGATCTATGAAGAGTGGGGGGGGTGTGTTGCCAGGGATGGGATTTAGTGATTATTCTTACTGCAGCTTTTTGTTGGGTTATTATTGGCTTTAGATGTGTTGCTGCATTTGATCCCCAAGCACAAATAGCATAGGTGAGGTATGGATAAATGAGTGAATGGTATAGTGTGAGAAGGGCAGTTTGCGGCACGTAATATCATATCTTGGAGAGGATCCCCACCGTTTTGGATACTTGTTTTGTTATGTGTTGGATTTGGATGCTGAAATTTAGGTTGTTGTCGAGGTATAGACCTAGGAATTTGCCCTCATTTTGTCTGGCAATTAGAGTGTTGTCAGTCTTAATGTTAAGTTGTGCAACACCTGCTCTGCTACCAAACATAATGTAGTAGGTTTTGTCAGTGTTAAGTGTAAGTTTATTGGCTGTCATCCAAGTCAGAATTTTGAGCAGCTCCTCGTTGACAATGGTGTTGAGGGTGGCAAGATTAGGGTGGGAGATGACATAAGTTGTGTCGTCAGCAAAGAGAATGGGTTTCAGGTGTTGGGATACATTTGGATGATCATTAATGTAAATGGTGGTAGAGGGTGGTAGTGATGGTGGTAGAGATAACCTCTCCTCCCTCTCCACTCCTCGCCATCTTCCATATGCCAACAAGTCTTCAATAAAGGTAAAAGTGATGTTAAATGTTAAATGTTTTCTTATTTTTAGTAATCTATAAGGAGAAGAGGTTACTAGCCCATTGCTCCTGGCATTTTAGTCAGCTTTTACAACACGCATGTCTTACAAAGGAAAGATTCTTATTCCACGTCCCCATGGAGTTGATAGGAAATATTAACAAGAACTATTAAAAGTAAAAAAAACTGAGATGAGTGTGTATACATAAACATTTACGTACATGCATGGGTAAGTGAGCTAGCACTTCTGCCATTGTGTAAAACAATTTCAGGTTTCCATCTTACACTTATTTGGCAGGACAGTAGTACCTCCCTGGGTGGTTGCTGTCTACCAGCCTACTACAGTAATGCATACACATACACACATACTTATAAATATTGTCTCTATGTCCACAGCACGACTTGAACCTGCTAACTCTGTATCAGAGTCCACAGTACTTTACCACTGAGCTAGACCCAAGATAAGTATGGGCGCTTAGCCGAAGCTAATGTCCACTGCATGTGGCAGGATTCAATGAAATAACTTTCAGAACGAGCTTGGTGCCCGGGGACATGGGGTAACATCACTTAGCTTCGGCTAAGCGCCAATACTTATCTTGGGTCTAGCTCAGTGGTAAAGTACTGTGGACTCTGATACAGAGTTAGCAGGTTCGAGTCCTGCTGTGGACGTAGAAACAGTGTTTGTAAATAATTTTGCCTGTTTGCGAATTGTTAAACACATATATATTAAGAATTACATTTACAGAGTAACATACCATGTAATACAGTATTCAGAAAATTTACTTAAGCTGTGTAGGATTCAGCTATAAAATCCGTATTGTTGTTATTTCTTGCAGATACTTCTTAGAGCCTTTGTTCATGCTGGCATTGTTTTGTAAAACTCCACTAAATATCACACTCAAGGGCATCACCAATAACAAGGTATGTACCGTATTTGTGCAAAATGAACAATTCCTTTTATTAATGTCTTGAAATTAAACATATAAGATATTTGGTTACTACTCTATATTGATTTGAATTTCTTTCTTACGTCAAGTAAAAGATTGGGCAATTAACAGTTGTTGGAGGCATCTGGTATACAGTAATCTCTCCATATAACTTGATTAATAGGAGGATTGTTTTAGTGTTTTTTAAATCAGAATAATGTTAATAGCAAAAACTGCACTAAAATACTCTACTCTTCTTCTGATATTGAAATGTGCACACAATTTATGTATATACTGCAATAAACATTGAAATTAAAGGAGTTAAAAGTACAATTTAACCTGTGGATTTTGCCCTTAATTTTTAAGTCTTTTAAAACTAGGTCCATTATATCGAGGGTTTACTGTACAGTAGGGCCCCAATTAAGCGGTAGATTGGGTTCCAGGCTACCACTGGAAATAGGAATGCCATTTGTTTCCACTTATAAATATCAGATAATAAGTTTACACTAACATACAGGTACCATCTGACTTACGACCAAGCTTGGTTCCGACCAACCGGTCGTAAGTCAAAATGGACGTATGTTGAACCTTACTACTGAATATCAACACCACACTTTTGTAAAGGTTTTATTTTATTGTTTTATTTTGGTATTTCATTTTTTACTTTACTTTTTATGCTGTTAGTACTGTATTTTATACTGTAAGGTTTAGGATAAACACTGTGCACACCACAAACCGTTGTTTATTTCCCAGAAATTTGGCATACAAAACATGGTCGTAAGTAGAGTGGCCGTATGTCGAGCTGGTTGTAAGTCGGATGGTAGGTGTATATTAAGTTAGCAATAGAAATAGGCATTAAAAACAATGAAAAGTAAAATACACATACAGTACACTCATTAATTACCTCAGAATTTTTGTAGTCTTAATGTAGGGTGAGAAGTGAGTAGTGTTTATTGTAAGGAGTTAGATGTGGTAGCTATGGTAGCCAGTCAGGCCACCCTACTCCACCCACACATAATATACAGTGGACCTCAGTTAACGACGTCTTCGGATAATGTAAAAATCGGATAACGACACGTTTTTGCATCAGAATATTGGCTCAGTTAACGACAAAGAACTTAGTCATTTGTCCCAAACGTGTCCGTGGAGAGTGAGCACCTGGACACTCCATGTACAGCCAGTATGCCATTGTTTACAAGCCAGTGAGGATGATTCCACACATACATGCAATACAAACCATACCACGGGCGGGATTTGAACCTGCGGTCATAGAGTCTCAAAACTCCAGACCGTCGCGTTAGCCACTGGACCAGCTAGCCACAATAAGATTCGTCCAACTAGGTATATTTCTACACCATAGGAAGGTTAGCATAGGCACCACTGTGACCACAGATACAAATGTTGACGGCAGTGAGGGGACTTGAGCTAGAGTTCGTCACAGCCATGCTAGTTGGAGATTCGTCTGTAAAAAACTTGCATTTGTGGTCACAGTGGTGCCTATGCTAACCTTCCTATGGTCTGGTTGACCAAGCAGTCAGCAACTAAGTTTTGCATTAGGCTGGACTGCAAGGGTACAACTCTTGAGGTCAGTCATAGGTATGTAAACTTATTTGGCATTATATTAGCTTGAAAAATGATCCATCACATCTGCAGTACCCTGGCACATACATAATGGAAAAAGGCATTTTATTTAATCCAATATTTGTAATTACCTATTTCTAGTTTTCTCCACTGTTTCCCCAAATCAACATTAGTTAATTAGTTTTAGGAATAGAGAAAAGGAAATAAGCATTTTCTGATTTGTAATTAGTTTCACATGTACTGTACTACTGTTAACATCATAATAAAGTAATACTGTGTTATTATATGAAGTTAGTACAGGTACAATACCGACTTTCTGGACACTGATGGTCCGGAACCTCTTATAATTATAAGAGATATGTAATTCATACAAATTTACAAGCAGGAACTTGAAATTCCCACGGCTACCCATCTAGTTTACTGGGTGGCCTGTAGATGGTGTTGAGTATAGCCGTGCTCACTTGAATTGCTTACACTGCACTTGCTGGTGGGGGACATCCCAGTTCTGTGAGTTTTGTAGCTTATTTTGATTAATTAATCCCAGCTATGTCTTCTAAGGGAGGTAAGAGGGAGACTGGTGTTGTTAAATGTAAACACCAGTCCATGTCGATTCAAGAGAAAGTTGAACTGTTGAGAAAACTGGACTGTGGTGCCTCAGTGCATAAGATCTGTGAAATTTACAGTCTCGGTAAATCAACTGTTTGTGATATAAAGGTGACTACCACTAGTCCAGAAAAATCATTAATCCGGAAAGGCTTAGGAAGCAAAGGTTTTGGAAAATTGATGTTGTTCCTGTACTATCAGTGAGCTTAGCTTATGGGAGAATAATTTGTATTTTTTAACACACTGGCCATCATCCACATAGGTAAGGTAATCCTCCCCCTCAAAAAAAAGAAAACTCATTCACTGTTACTCATTCATAATTGTAATGTAAGTGCCAGAACTGCATTTACATTACAATTCAGATGACTCTGAACTGCAAGATCCCCAAACCTTCAGAGTGCAAACACTGTACTTCCCACCTCCAGAATTTGAGTTTGGCTTACCCTTTTTAATTAAATCCCTTCATAAATATTACTTTACACTTTGTATTTTTTTTTTTGTAACACGTCGGCCGTTTTCCACCGCAGCAGGGTGTCCCAAAAAAAACAAAAGAAAAAACTTTCATCATCATTCAACACTCACCATCACTCATACATAATTACTGTCTCTGCAGAGACACTCAGATATGACAGTTTAGAAGTCCTTCCAAACTGCCAATATTCCAAACCCTTCCTTTAAAGTGCAGGCATTTTACTTCCCATTTCCAGGACTCAAAACTGGCTAACCGCTTTCCCTGAATCCCTTCACAAAATATTATCCTGCTCACACATAACAGTTTGTCAGCCCAAAAACATTCGTCTCCATTCACTCCCATCTAACACTCTCATGCATGCATACATACTGGAAGTCCAAGCTTCTTGCCCACCAAACCTCCTGTACCCCCTTCCTCCGACCTTTTTGAGAACAACCCCTACCTCGCCTTCCTTTCCCTACAGATTTATATGTTCTCCAAGTCATTCTAGTTTGTTCCATTCTCTCAAAATGACCAAGCCACTTCAACAACCCCTCTTCAGCCCTCTGACTAATACCTTTACTAACTCCACACCTCCTCCTAATTTCCACACTACAAATTCCCTGCATAATATTTACACCACACACTGCCCTTAGACACGACATCTCCACTGCCTCCAACCTCCTCCTTGCTGCAGCATTTACAGCCTATGCTTCACACCCATAGAAGAGTGTTGGTACCACTATACTTTTGTACAATCTTTTCTTTGCCTCCATGGATAATGTTTTTTTGTCTCCACAGATACGTGCCTCAATGCACCACTCACCTTTTTTCCTTCATCAGTTCTGTGGTTAACCTCATCCTTCAAAATCCCATCTGCTGACAAGTCAACTCCCAAATATCTGAAAACATTCACTTCTTCCATACTCCTTCCCTCCAATGTGATATCCAATTTTTCTTTATCTAAATCGTTTAATACCTACATCACCTTACTCTTATCTATGTTTACTTTCAATTTTCTGTCTTTACACACCCTCACCTCCACACACTAACCTTTGCAACTTTTCTTTACAATCTCCCAAAAGCACAGTATCATCAGCAAAAAGTATCTGTGTCAGCTCCCATTTTGTACTTGATTCCCCATAATTTAACCCTTCGACTTTTTCGGTTGTATATATATGTCTTACGAGCCACCATGTTTGACGTATTAATACACATAAATTCTAGCAGCTTCAAATCAAGCAGGAGAGAGCTGGTAGGCCCACATATGAGAGAATGGGTCTCCATGGTCAGTGTGCACCATATAAAAAAAACAGGGAGCCTGTGGTGCATTGTGGGAATGCCATTTCAGTAGTCCTTGTTCAGCATGCCTAGAGGTAAGAAATATGTGATTCCCCGGCAAATCTGGGAATCTACTCTTTCCAAGTGATGCTCTAACACTGATGGAAGTCTCAGCAAAGATCAATTTCTTTCATACCCAATGGTACCATATAGTACAATGGTACCATACGGTTATAAACCATAGAATTCCTCTTCAGCTCCACTTCCATCAGTCTTACAACTGTAAGTTGTGAAGAGGAGAGTCAGAATTCACCCAGAGAGTGAGTGGGGAGTGAGAGCTTCCTTGCTGCCAGGCACGATGAACAAAACTACTTTGGCAGCATTCTCACAATGCCATGCGGGCGTCCAGATTTTTTCTATAGTGTGTACACTGACCACCCAGACCCATTCTCACAGATGTAGGCCTACCAGCCTTCTTGCGCTAAATTTGGCGCTGCTAGAATTTTGGCATAGATCTACGGTTTGGACCCTCAACGTAAAGCCGTAGATCTACGGCACGGACCCTGAAAGGGTTAATCTCACTCCAGAACTTTTTCTTATTTTCAACAAAATTTGTTGATAACATCTCACCCACTCTCTCAGTTGCTCTTTTTTTACATTGCTTCACCACTCTCTTAACCTCTCTTTTTCTCTCCATATATTCTTCCCTCCTTGTATCACTTCTACTTTGTAAATACCTCTCAAATGATAACTTTTTCTCCCTTACTACTCTCTTTACATCATCATTCCACCAATCGCTCTTCTTCCCTCCCGCACCCACTTTCCTGTAACCACAAACTTCTGCTGAACACACTCACACTACATTCTTAAACCTACCCTATACATCTTCAACCCCATTGCCTATACTCTCACTAGCCCATCCATCCTCCAATTGTTGTTTATATCTTACCCTAACTGCCTCCTCTTTTAGTTTATACACCTTCACCTCTCTCTTACTTGCTGCTTCTATTTTCCTTGTATCCCATCTACCTTTTACTCTCACTGTAGCTACAACTAGATATATCTATTGCCCCTCTATA